CAGACTGATGCTTCTCTGGGCTGACACAGCCCAATTCTGGATTCCTGCTGGCTTGCTCCCACTAAAGATAGCCATAAGCTGAAAGCCATTGGCATTTAGACAGTCTCAAAACATGGAGAGATCTTTGCTGCTTTCTATCAATGTAAATCAAACTCTGGCTAGTACCATTTTGATATACTCCACCTGAAGAGCTGATCTGGTTAGACCTCAGGCAATAAAAATCTATTCCTGAGGCAATCAGAACTATTTTTCTGTGTGTTGAAAAAAACATATACTATGAGCAAACAAAATGTCATAGGTAATGTATAAAAATCTGCTTCTGCAAGGATCCTAATAAAATTGGCACTAATTATTTGGTCTTGGTTTTACTGTCTTCAACGTTTAAGCACTCTAGAAGGAATGGAATTACTTTTCATTATGGAAATTTTTGGAGTGCAAATGTCAAATATTTCATTGGTTTGGATATTCAGCAGATACAATAGCTACAAATGTTTCAGGCAATTTTGACAAAAAAATGTTCAAGGAAATAGGTCTGTAAATTGCCAGAATAAAATTTCACAAACTTTCTGAACTGCAAACAATCTCTCTTCATTCAAAATATGAAAAAAAAAACCCACAATGATGTATTTTACCAGATATTAAAAAATATGAAACAGTGGTCCCTCAATCTCATACACAGATGATCATATTATGATATGTACTTTTTACTTGCATTCCAGCATTTTGCTTTTATTTGTATTTAGTGCAATGTGACTGTCCAGCCTATTCTAGAGCTGTCTTCCTTTTTTCCTTCCAAGATAAAGCGGTCACAGCAATTGAAAGACAAGAGAACTGGCACATGAGCTTTTGCATGATCAACATCCAAACCATGGCTAGAACTAGTCTGTATCTGAGTAATTCTGGCATACTGAAAAGACAACCAGGTGTTTTGCTGCTTTCAGAATCCCCCTCAGTCTCACAGTTAATCAAAAAATACGAAAGGAAAAACAAAAACCAACCTCACTTGCCAGGGACAAGTCTAGATAGCTAAATACTTTCAAATTATGATGTTAATTACCCAGATTAAGAAAAGGCTCATCTGTAGACTTAACAAAATTATTAGCAAATAGCTTCACCATTTGTTCAGGATCATTTACAAACTCATTACCCAGATCCAAGGATAATGTCTTCACTCTGGGCATAGCTCCAAAATGGTCATTAACAACAATATGAAATTGTTGTGCAGAAAAAGATTTATCATTAAAATATGTTATAATACTCAACTCTTACTTTTGAAATGCACATTTTGTACAGAACCCAAATGGTACTTACTTCAGACAAATGATCTTCCACACATGGTTCCCGTGTCACATGTAGTTCTCCTCAATGATGCATGCAATTATTTTTTTTCAGAAATTTTAAAATTTTATTTCTGCCTTTTGTATTGCATGTGGGTTTGAGCTACGAGAAAGCTGCCAATCAAAAGAGAATGCCACACGTGCCTCCATGTGCAAGGACCAAGGCTTCCAGTACCTCCAAGACTTGCCAAATAGCACAGATTTTGCAGGTTAGGCTCTGGGAATGAGCCAGGTAAGGGTAATGGTCCGTTATGAAGTGGAATCAAAGTGAGCAAGAACTGAGCACATTACCTTGAGTTTAAATCACTTTTAGCACAGCCTGCACGACTTTTTCTGAAGTGAATCCAGGGAGATTAAACACTGACATCCTTTTTTTCTGGATTACTGCTGAATTTGAACACATTTTGCAGAGTAAAAGTGAGTGAGACCCATTATAAACAAACTTTCTTGCTATTCAAGAGGAGACTGTAGCAAGGAAAAAATAAACAACGCACATGTGGTTGGTAAGTGCTTAAAGTCACACCGTGCCACAGCAACTGCAAAGCACTCACTTGGGTACCTTATTTCAGCATTTGATGAATAAATTGTAATAGTTCCATATAAACAAGCCATATTAAGGCAATATGTAAACATTTCTAAAGAACAATGATTTGTTTAGATGCTTTAGTCCTTCTCTGAGTCTGAATCTGGCAGCAACATGGGATTGCTTTGTGACAAGGCAGCCCGTTGTGGTAGTAAGCTGCTGTTACATTATTTTTGTCAGATGAGAAAACAGGCCTCATAATTTATGTCCTGAACTGGGGCAACAAAGAAGCCCCTAAAATGAAGCAATTCTGTGAAATTAGTTTCCCTGGAATGTGGTCTAAAGTTTCCTAAAAATAAAAGAATATGAAAATATACTTGAAACTCTTTCTGAGCAGATGAGTGGTTTTCTGTGGAAAGGCAGAGTAACTGTGTTTGGCAAATTTCACCATAGATTTAAATGAAACTTGAAAAATATGAAGGTGTATAAAAAGCTAAAGTTTGTGAAGGCCTGTGACTGGGCAACACAGTATTATGTTTCCTAGCATAATACAAACCTGTATTATGTAGTGTACTGCACCCTTAATATGTATGTATTCAGCTGAACATATACAATAATGTATATGCTCCATAATACCAATAATCTACCAATATTTGTTAAGTGTGTTTGATCAATTCTCCATCTCCATGAACCATCAACACTCTGTCTTCCCCTATGCTAATCCCAGGATTTCTAAAGGTGGTGATGGTGTCTAACACCTACACCTTCCTCTGGTGGACACACATTGACCAGTGGGAAGGAAAGAATAATGCTCACTTCAGAAACTAAAACATGAAATACTTGGTTTTAAAGGAAAGAGTTGACATATGAAACAGTTCATGAGTTTCCTGCATTTTTTTACTAACACTAGATTTTTATAGCAGTATTAGCAGAAGCTCATCAGCCATTTAAATTAACATATTTTTGCATACACTTTCTTACACATTCCTAACATACGTATAAGAAATCCAGTGTGGAATACAACTTACACGATTAAAAGCCAATATAGAAGCTTACTCTAGAAATATGGAGTGTCCCACTGTGTTCACAAATTAATGAATATTTTCAAGTCACAAGAATGAAAGTAGGCCTCAGATCTACTGAATAAATCATAAGCTCTATATGACTTCAAAATACTAATACTTCTTTTTTTAATTATTAAAGAACATATTTTCCTCAGATGCAGCAATTCACTCACAGGCTCTGCAATTTTGGTTGCTACCCCTCAGTTCATTAAGGTTACTGTCTAAAAAATTAGAAAAGTGTTATCATTTACTGCTTTTGAGGAACTTTCTAAATTCCTGCACATCCTGTTCCTTGCACATCACCTGATGACACAGGTTTAAGGCAATATTCCTCTTTCCTCATCTTTTTTTAAAGCATTCCTTCTGTATTGTGTTTTCAGACAGAAGTACCCTCCTATGGAGAAACGGGGCTTCATTATTGCTTTCATCCACTCAATGAAACGTGATGGAAAGGTTTCTTTTAGAAAACATACTCATGGCTTTGGATCAGAGTTTCAATGGCTTTCAGTTTTGAAAATAGAATTTTATTGATTCTTTAAAATAAAAATTGTAAATTTTAATTGTAAACTTAGGAGCCTCAAACCACCAAGTAAGCATGAATGTGTCTCATAAACACTGTGGTCCTAATCCAACACAACACTACAGGCACCCTGTAATTACCTGATGACTGCATTCAGATTTAAGTGTTTACTCATGATATTCCAGTCAACTGCTAGAGTGTAAACTAAAAGCTGAGTCAAGTCTCTTTGATATCTGAGCCCTGCTTTAAAGCAGCAAATGGCTACTGCAGCTGGTATTCCAATATTTTCATCAGTCCCAAACTAAAGGTACTGCCTCCAAGTCAGTGAAACATGGTCAAGCTGATGTCAACTCAAGTAATCAGATCAACTGGAGGAATTCAGATTTCTGAATCTCTTCTTTAATTTTTGCTCTAGAATGACTACTTTCGGAGGACTTAATCCTCCATTCCTTGCTGATGTGAGATCATACTTGATAGGTTTCCAATGCTTTTGTACCTTTCTGGTACACTGCGGTCCTTAATGGAGCCATAGACCCTCTGAAAAGACCATGTAGTATAATACTTCCTTGGGACATCCCTACATTCAACAGCTGTGATACCTCTAACTGCAAAGGCAAAATCATGTGCATCTTCTCCCTGCATCAGGAGAGACTCTCAGGTCCCTCCACTACTTTGTTCATCCCCAGAACGAACTGGTGCACATCGCACCTGCCCTGCCTCATGAGTACTGATGTTAACACTCAAAGCTGGATCATAAACATTTATCACCGTCTTCAATTGCTTAAAAATTGGTGGCTTTGCAGAAAAACAAACCATGCCTTTCATGAAAACAGGAGCCTGGAAACAACCCCTTATTCCTGGCAACATCCAGACCTAGAAAAATAAAAGATGATTGGCCTGTATATCCATAATCCCACAGATATTTACAGACACTCGCCAGTGCCTGTAGTGCACAGAGTCCCAATGAATCCAACAGGACTACTCGTGGTCCTTCGTTCAGCACCAGGGTGAACTTCGCACGTCCTGCAAACTCCTCCCAGCTATGCACCCCCGCTGCAGGATCCCTCCGTCGGCGTGCCGCGTGTGAGGCACGCTGGTCTGGGTGGCCTGGGGAGATCTCACTCACGAGGAACCCCCGGGTGCCTGCCCGGGCGTGGGGTCAGGACCGTTCTACTGCCGGCAGCACCCCGTCCCGCTCGGGCTCCCCCGGTCACAACTCCCGTCCCGGGCTGCTGCCCACGGACAGCCCCTGCTGCCCACGGACAGCCCCGCATCCCGGGAACCCGCGGCACTCCCGGGCTGCGGCACCCCCAGGCCCACCCGCCGGCGGGACCCCGAGCCCGCCCCCCGCCGCCGGCCCCGGCCGCGGCCCCTTCCCCGGGGCGGAGGGAGGGAGGCGGGGCCGGGCCGGGCTCCGCGGGGCCGGGCCGGGCTCCGTGGGGCTGGCGGCGAGAGCTGGGTGCCGCCGGCGGCCGAGGAGCGAGGGCGAGCGGCAGCGGCCGGGGCTGCGCAGCAGGGCCCGCGGCGGGGGCATGGCCCGGCAGTAGGCAGGGAGCGCTCCGCCGCCCGCCGCTCCCGGCGGCAGCCCCGCCGCGCCCCGTCCGTCCTATGTGAGCAGCCCCGGCGCCAAGATGAAAGGTAGGGACAGGAGCGGGGCGGCCGCTCCGCCGCCCGCACACGTGCACCGGGCACAGCGGGAACACCGTGCGGGATCGGAACACCGTGCGGGAACACCGTGCGGGATCGGCGGCAGGCGTGTGGACAGTCTTCAGCAAGGGGACATCGCGGGTAGGGCGGCCGTGGGGAGGGAGCCCGCGGCGTGAGCCGTAGGCAGCAGGGTGCTGGCAGGACGCGGTGCGGGCAGGTGGCGGGCAGGACACGCCGCTGCGGGCAGGGCACGGGCGGGCGATGCCGGGAGAGGCAGAGCGGGGCTCTCACCGCGACCCCGGGGTGCGGGGTGTGCGGTCAGTCCCGGTCCGGGAGCGGGCTGTTCCTGCGTGAGTGCGTCCCGGCATGGGTGCTCTACCCCCAGCACGGTTTCTCTCCGCACCCAACTTTTATCTTCCCCCTCGCCGGTGCCCCGAGAAGAAGACCTGTGTTTCTCCCTGGTTGATTTGTTTATTTTTTGCCAGCGTTTTGCGATGTTCTTGGTGTTGCTTCTAAACATCTGGCAGTGATTAGGTGCCAGTAGAAGCTTAACTGGCTTGTGAAATGTATTTGGCGTATTTCTCCTCTACATCCACCGACTGGAAAATTTTTGGTCTTTGCATCTGTTCAAACTGAAACTTTGTTTCTTTTCCTTTTTCTCTCTTTTCCTCCCTTCCTTCTCTTTTTGTTTCAAATGGGTGAAATATTTGACCCTATCCTACATAGCTGTGACTGAGAGGTGTCACATACTTTAAAATGAAATAAAGATGCAGATTGCCAAATTGCTACTCTGTAACCTAATAAAGATGTATGGGGGGGGGGGGGGGGGGGGGTGTGCAAGAAAGCCTTCTGTTTATGAAAATTGATAGCCTTACAGCAAAAGGCAGAGGCTTTACACACTGGGGAATACTTACAATGAAAACATCAAAGGACATTATGGAAAGTTTAGAAGTTAGTTGGGATTTTGTGAGAGTTGAATCCACTTTTTCTTCAGAGGCAAAAAGTAAGCTTAAGGAAAAGACATACATATATGAAAAATGCTTTTGGGCACCACTGTGCCTGTTCTTGAACTGAGTTTTATTTCAGATGCCAGGGGGCCAGTAAACATCATGATAGTTACACTGAGTTTCCAGAGTCTAGGACACCAAATGATGTGATTATTTATTCACTTGCCAGAGTAGCTGCCTGAAGGGAGGAAAAACTTTTGGGGGGCATTTATTTTGCAAGCCCACACACACACACTATTTACATTACTTCTGGCACTGTGGCACGGTGTCTCTCCAGGGCCATACCACATATTAAAAATAATGTCTTTACAGTGTTTTTTATTTATAGGCTGCTCATGCCAAAAAAATTGTCATTAGCTTGTCATTATCAGCATGAGTGTAAGGGCAGGAACAAACCAAAACAATGAGGATCTGGTAGTAGGTAGAACAAACCTGCGCCTGTTACCACGGAAAGCCTGACACTCGATTCTTTGGGGTTTTGGGGAGAGGTGGGATGCAAAGGACCAAGGATGGCAATAACATTTAACATGACTTGTGTGTCCTTCCATTCTGCTTCCACTGCTCTTTGCAAAGCATAGCAGTGACATTCAAGGGGAAGATGCAATTCCTGCTCCTGGGAGCACTCGCTGGTGCCCCACACTCCATCAAGAGGATGTGCTAGTCCTTACCATTTGGCTTCCCTAAGAGTGATCACGGCCATCCTACTTCTTTCCCTCAGAGTTACAGAAATCAGTAATAAAACATGCAAAGAGCACTTGAATGACTGTGCTAATAGCAAAAGAAAAGTGTCGAACAAATCATCACATCAAGTGCTTTTGCCAGTGTTAGAGAAGTCAGAGAGTTAAATCAAATTTTGACTCGGTGATTTCCTTTTCTGGGTATGAATGTGGCTTTTCATATTTTCTCTTAAAACTTGATGGTAGTGATAATTGTAGGACTGTAGAACTTGGTATAGTTACACATTTTTCTCAATAAAAACAAAAAGATCTGTTGATTGCAGCTGTCTCTGTCTCTACCCTCTCTAGAGAATGGATGAATATCTAAATAATTACATCACTAAATATCTGTAAGGAATAAATTATATTTCCCATTGCTGGTATTTGTAATGTGTTATGTTTTAAATCAGTAAAACACATTGAAGTTTATGTTCAATATGCTGGCAGCTTTATTTCCAGCAAACAACACTGAGCTCACAAACTTTGTCATATTTTTTAGAATAATTCATGTGATTTATATAGGGATTTGACTGCTTTAGGGTTAGATTTATCTTTATCAAATCATATTTCTAAGTTATAGTTATTTATTGGGGTATGAAGGAGCACTCGTTGCCTGGGAAGCAAATGAAAACAGCTTCCTCGTAGTCAAACACCACCACATGTTCATAAACATTGGTCTTAATTTAAGACCTGGACAAGCATCATTAAAACTGAGAACTTCTTTCTGTATAGCTGCAATATATTTTCTAGTTACTGATTTAAACTCTACCTGTACTCACTACTGTCACGGCAGTGCTGGTGATAAGTATTTTCCTCTGAAATAAGGATGCTCTTTGGATAACCACGTAATACTAATGCCCAAAATCAGGCAATGACAAGTCAAGGTGGTCATTTGGAGACTGTTGCTCCAGGATGAGAGCGAAGCTTTTAATTAATGATGCTGAAAGTAGCTTAGCTGCTTCTTTTCATTCCTCTGGGATTTTCATCTGGGATCCTGTGCTTGAGTACTGGGGTGTGCTTGAGAGCTGGAATGTGACCAAGTACTCTGTCTTGTGCCTTTCCTCTCATTTGATATAAAAAGATGCATGGGGGAGAAACATCTTTGTCCTAGGTTGTGTTCCACTGGAGCAGTGAAGCCCACAGTGCCTCGGGAGCAGCCTGGTCTGAGTGCCTGCCCTTCTTAGCCTTGACCCCTTTACCTCAAAGGTGTCTCAGTGTGCCCTGAGCACAGCTCACAGGAGATAAGAGTACACCGAGCTCTCACAGAATATGCCAGTTCAGTTCACCCCAAGTTTACACACTGAACACTTTATCAGACAATTAATTACCATAACAGCTAAAATTGTCCCTTCTGTGGGACTCAGAGCCTGGATGTAATTTGCAAATAACACCTACGATAGCAAAAGCTGACTGTGCATGCAAGTTCAGTTGATCTTTCTTGACTACCTTGAAAAGTCTTAAATAATCTATATGATGTTTACCTTCTTGACAGGCTTTGTCTTTCTCTCTGTTTTGATGCTACTGCTAATTTTAAAGAATAAAGGAATTAAAGTTATAATTTTGTAACACTGCAGAAAAGTCTCTTTCTGTCTCTGACCTTTGTGTGCACTAAATCAAATGAACAGTCATCTGCAAATAGGTCTTTCCTTAATAGAAACTTCAAACCAAGAATTAAAAAAAAAAAAAAAATCCAGTCCAGAGCATTTTGCAGAAGCCAGAAAGCATCTGAAAACCAAGGATTAGAAGTGGAGTGATCCAGTAACCTTTCCTTAGTCCACTTATAACAGAGCTTATATGAATATAGTGACATAAACATGAAACATATGCAGGAGGTCTGAGTGGTGTGTGTTGGACATGTCACAGGACCCTACAGCAGAAGTTCAAAGGCATGAGCAGTTATAATAAATGTGTGATAAAACACAGAACAAATCCTGAGCAATGCTACTATACAGTCAGTGTGTGTCCTGAATTGATTGGTAGCACAGAGCATTTTAAACATATGGATGAGAAAGACTCAAGTGTGTGTCAAAGCATATTCTTATTAACACTACAGGGGAAAACAGAGCTATGAAATTATAAGAGAAATGTGTTATTGCACAGATAGAAATATTACTGTACACCCACAAAGGATATTTAGCAGAATTAGCCTATAAACTACTTATGACAGGAGCATTTTCAGTAAGAACTTGTAACTGTTCATTATTGCTTCAATTCTACTTTTCCCAGCCGCACAGGACAAGAATAGCATGGAAAAACCTATCCCTATGAAGAAGGGAGTTGTTCAAAATCTCCTGTGATTCCTTCTTCTCTTACTTTGGATAACATTGATTCATTTTAGACTGATTCTGCTACAACTGAGGGCTGAACAGAGCCCTTTTTTTGTCACAACTACTGAACAGTTTACTTAGATCCACACTGAAAGACTGTTGTGCCCAGAGGTTCAGACACTTCTGGCTGCTAGGATAAGGAGGGAAAGGTAATCTTGCAGAGAGAGAGCTGATCAGGCCTTGCAGAGATAAAGCAGAGTAAAATAAAGAGAACTGAGAGAAATGTCAAGGATGAAAGCAGCTCAGTACTGCAAAGGATGCATACCCAGTTATCTTCAGCTTCACAAAACCTTCCTTATCCTGAGGTTCTGTATATCAGAACAGAGGATCTCTCCTTCCAGCCCTCCCCCTTGGAAAGCAAAATAAAGACGTTTTTTACAAGGCATGGAAAGTGAACCTGATCCTCCTCATAATGTGAGTGTGGTCTGTGCAAGTGAGGGAACAACCTAAGATGAATTGTCTTTGGAGTTTGACTGCTTCCACCTAAAACTGCAATCCCTTTTGGTGCATAAATTTGAGGTGCAGACTGAGACATCACTGGGGAGCAAAGTGAATGAATTATGGGAGGTAATAGAGACATGTGTTGTTAGGAATGTGTATAACATTTTAATACTGCTGTTAATTGCCTCCTCTGACATACAGACAGGGAGGGACGATTTTTCAGTGCACTAATGAGAGCATATCTGTTAGCTCTTAAATCGTTACTCTGAAATACGATATGATTTAAACCTTTAACTTCTAAAGTTGATCCTCCACACCATGCAGCTGCTCCTGACCCCAGTATGGTAATGATGCTCTGTGGCACTTATGGGCTAACAAGTTTTGTTCCAAACCCCCAATTTACCGTCTTCATCTTGTGCTTAAAAAGCAAAACGAGAGTGACTGCTGTTATACTTCTAAAATTCACAATCATCTTTTTGTGTGTGTTCTTAATGTAAGTG